GAGAGAGAGAGAGAGAGCTCTTTCGACCGCGAATGAGGAGTGTCCTATAAATTGTAATTATTCATGAGCTAACACCGCGATGCATTCGCGAGCCAATGTGCGTTCTCGCGAAAGCATTTCCGAAACGCACACGTAACCACTGTACTTTCGAAGATTTAGTAATATTTAGTTTCGAGTTCTCGTGTTGCAATGAAAATAATTGTACCACTTGTATGCGAGTCAAGAGGAAAGGGGTGGGTCTTTTTGTAATGCACTTTGTCACTTTGTATTATTTTATAGAGCTGCTAATAATTATCGCAATTATTGCACTATGACTTTTTTGGTACGAATTGCATTACATAATTGATTAAATTGATTCAATCCGAAAAATCGGATAAAATTTCAATTTTCTTTTTCAATATATTTCAAAATTTGGTCAAAGACAGAAAATGATTTTGTTATTATTTAGAATAATTATAGGATATTTATAAGCACAACAATAATACCATAAAATTGGTGATTTTTTTTGACAACTAATTTGAACATCCTAAGGGGAAAAAGTCGTTGGTCTTCCAAATCCACTTGCGATATTTTATATTTTATTTTCTATTGGACATTAAACGTGGCAAGAAGAAAGTAAATTAAATAGAAAAAGAAGAAAAAAATAGGAAATCTATCATATACCCAAAGTAGTCGGCGACCATCTCATGCGTTTTATTCGGGAAATGCGAGATATTCCAAGCAATTCGAGAATCCTGTTGATCTCAAACGACGCAATTATATCTTTGACTGTGCAAATCCGCCAATGGAAGTAGTATATGTACAATGCGTCGGGGATCGTGCAGCTTTCGCATCCGATGCAGGCGGATATAATGCATAACGGCGCGGGCTTTCGATTGCACCGCGGGTGCAATAAAAAGATAACGGGGGACTGCCGAATGAAAAGAACTCGATTATTTCGGGCTCAGCCTTCCGATATCCCGGCGCTGCCTATCAGCCGCGGTATTCTCTTCAGAAAAATCTGATCATTTATTTCCCTCGATTGCGAGGAACGTTGCGAGGAGCGGCCTGAAAATTTGTTACGCCCTTAATAGAACAATAAGATTAATTCGCCTCCGAGATTCACGCGATTGTATCTTTGGTTTCCATATTTTCCCCAAAGCAATAGAGATTATCTCGTTTCGCTTTGCGTCAGAGCTGCTTTATGTCCCAACGACGACAAATTGATTATTTTCTTATTAGACTGTGACTAACTCATAAATCCTCTCACCGTATATTATTGATTACAGCGGGAGGATGCAACGAAAATTAATTTATCTCCGAGATTCACGCGGACATAATCTTCGGTCTTCATATTTTTTTAAACAATGGACAGAACATTTCAATTCGTTCCATATGCAATATGTTCTACATATGTTTTGCAATATGTTCATTTCAATGATGACAATTGATTATTGGACTACAAAATTGTAAACGACCTGTACCTGTGTGTTACTGATTGTACAGTACGCGAAAAGACGTGAAAGAGGATAGGTCATTGTTGTTAGACGGACGTGGCTGTAATGAAAAATTGCGAGGCGCATTATCTAGAGGCACATTTATTTCACCCCTTTCAAGTTCCTCCGCCGGAAACGGCAAATCCCCGCGTAAATTGGATCGCACGCGGTAACACGACAATTACTCGCGATAGAAATCTATTGTAACGTTCGCGTTACGATACGAACCGGTCGATGCTTTCTCGTGGTCCCGCTATCGCGCCACGATAAATCGCTCGTTGCGGCCGGAACCGTCGGTTGCGGTCGGGCGATTTTTCGCGATTTAACGAACGTTAGCGTTAGCTTTCCGAGCAATTTTCTTCGTCGCGGCATTTAAGGTCAGCACGATCGGTTCACGATCCGATCCATAATCCGCGGCCCTCCGTCGATCGTCGCCGTCCATTAATCCATTAATCCGCGCCGCGCAAAAAGCGCGGAAACCCTTTTGAAATAGGACTTCGGACTGATACGGTAATTCTTCCACAGACGGCTATATCTCTTCGGACGCACGTGGCCACGTTAAAATATTTGCTTAAAACCTCGGGAAACGATGAATTTCAGAAACGGATGCATTACTAAACATCGGTGCACGAGTGAAAAAGTAACGACACAGTTGGAGAAGAGATTTATAAAAGTATATATAATTAAGAATATATAAATATAAATACGTTTTATTTACATATATATAAAAATATGGAATAAATGTTTATGATCTCTATTAAAATGCTTGATGGCATATATTATTTTCTCATTGTGTTATTTTAAAAACTTTACTTAGTACGTTCTCTCTCTCTC